TCCGACGAAAAAGGATCCCTGGATCCTTTTTGTAGCCACGATAGTAAGAAAACAGAATTCGATAATATAATTTTTTTTATTATTTAATTTTGTACCTTACAATTTGTCCAGCTGGACATTTGGTAAATTTTTCTAACTTAATTGCTAAATAACACGTGGATGGCTACCCCCAGCTGAATACCATCTTCGAGTTTCACTATTTTATTTCTTTAGTCAGATCAGTGGGATGTTTCCTTTTTAGTCTTCTTTCTATCAGAGTTTTGCTCGCTTCAGCAGCCAGCTGGTTTGGATGTGTTGCCGCTCTTTCCTTGTATTTTTCTGCGTACCTGCCTATTTCTTCTTTGACCGTTGGTATTTTTAAGTCTTTGCGTATATCCTCGTTTCTGACATACCATGGGACGTTGACTATTGTTCTCAGTATCTTCGATTGTAGCGACTCTACTTTATTCATGTGGCTCATTGATGCTGTCTCCCATAGCGGTATTCCGTACGTCCAGATTGGTTTTACTGTCGTTTTGTAGATTTTTAGTTTATTTTCTATGCGGTATTTAGAGTTTCGACTGGTTAGCCGGTGCATCTGTCTTCTTTTTATCCGTATTTTGTCTACATTTGATTTAGTATGTTGTTTCCATGTAAGTTGTGTGTTTAAGTGGATTCCTACGTATTTCACTTGCCTTGTTTGTATTACGTGCGTGCCATTCAATTTGGTATTTGGTGGTTTCCGTTTTCTTAGTGTAAATGTAATCTGGTTGCACTTACTAGGGTTTGCCTTTATTTGTTTATCTTGTAGTCATTTTTCTATTTTTGTGGCGTGCTCTTGTAATAATGTGACTTCTGTTTCTGGATTAGTGTGCCTGACTAGTACAGCAATGTCGTCCGCGAATGTCAGTATTTTGCTGTTGATAGTTGTTGATATGTCGGCCGTGTATAGTGTGTATAATATTTGTCCTAAGACGCTTTCCCTGCGGTACCCCTGCCTTGATGTCTTTTACTTCAGAATATACATCCTTTATTTTTACTGCAAAAGTTCCGTTGCTTGGGTATGATTTGAGTCAGTGGTGTCATATGTTGAGCCATATGTTGTCTGCTTTTCTGATTTTGTTTATTTTGTTCGTGGCTTTCCATAGAGAGTAATTGGCATTCTAGTGCGCAGAAAGCGATTATATGAATTTTAAGAATTCGTTATTGTTATGATCTTTTATCTCACTTTTTACTTCTTTTGCGAGTTTGTTTAGATGTTTTTTGTTTTCACGTGTTCTATGTTTTTGCTATTTTGCTTTCGCTTTCCCTTTTTCTCTGATTTTGTCAAGGATACCTGTTGGAATTATTTTTGTTTGCCTGTTGTTTGATTCATCATTAGTAGTTGTCCATACTGCTTCTTATATAATTTCTATCAATGTTGTTACTGCCTGTTCTATATCTTCGGGTGTTTTTAGTGGAATATTGCAGTTGCATTTGTTCTAGATTAATTCTTTAAATGTTTGCCATTTGATGCTTTCATTGCAAAGCGACTCTGATTTGCTATAAAGTATTGGTTTGCTTGTATATTCTATTATTATCGATGTATGATCGGAGCTAAGCTCAAGACTGGGTGTTATTTTTAACTTGTTCGCGTTTAGTCCTTTTATAACTGCAAAATCAAGCATGTCAGCAGTTTTGTTTAGGTCTGTCGACCAGTATGTTGTTCTTCCTGTGGATAATATGTTGAGATTACTAGTTCTAATGTATTTTTCTACGCTGCGATGCATTTGTCACCTAAGGATTGAAAACACTGTTCCCATTTTTGCAATGTCATTTTGTAGCGCGTTGGTGTATACAGGGTGGTTGGTAATTGGTGGTACAAGCGGAAAGGGAGTGATTCTACGTGAAAAAAGAAGTCGAAAATAAAAAGAAGTCGAAA